TATGGAAATTTATGATGCGTATTTAAATGGTTTTAAAAAATTTTAATACCTACAAAATAATGATTTGAAAATGTAAAATTGTTCGCAAATAAACATATGAAAGCAACACTAAAAGTTACAGTAAAAGCTTTATCATTAGTAGAAATATAATCAGAAGAGCTGTGGCAGCCAATAGGCTATTGATTATATACTTTTTAGAAAGGAATTATAACGTTATTGGGGTTTTCTTGTTTCATATGGTCAATAGACCACCAAATATGTAAAAACTGCGGAGTGCTACCATTTAAAGGAGTGCGTTTTTGAGAAAGTGGTGAATGTCCCATTTAAGGTCAAAAATAATTTTTTTTACAAAAATATATTCAAAAACGAAGCAAAAAAAACAAAAACACGCGATTTTTCTTTTTGTCCCACAATTTTTCTACACGGTGGTATAGGTAAATCTCTACAGAAAAAAAATGTATCCTTTTTTTTAAGAAACTGACGATATTTGTAGCAAAATGTAAAAATTGCATACGAAATATGCACTCTTTACCTTTGATTGAGCATTACTCTCACATGAGCCGCATCGTTCCTTTGTCAGATGCGCATGGCTCGTGGGAAATCCATCAAAACCAAAAAAAGAAAACGTACAATACCTTCAACAGAAGAAGAACTTTTAAACATACTGCAGAATTCCGAAGATGATAAAGATTGTGATAATTCAGATTTTGATATAAGTGATCAGGACTGCGGTTGGGGTGAATGGAATTCGTAAGAGCATACAGTTGATGAGGAAGGTAATATAGGTAATTGATTTTTTGGTACATTGTCACAAAAAAATGGTATAGATGATATATCCATTCAAGAGTCGGAGGTTACAAATGATGTTATTGATGATGTTTTGCAGTGGTCCGATATACCGGGGAAAATGAAAAAGTTCCAGTTGACTAAAAAAAGTAAATTCTACAAACAATTCCAGGCAATAAGGAACCTATCGATTTGTTTAGATTTATTGATGATGATGAACTAGTAAATTTATTTGTCGAAGAAACTAATCTTTGTGCTGAAGATCTTTCTTGTTCGGAAGGAATTACTAAGAAGTTCAGAGTTACAGAAGAAAACCTGTTAACATACGAATACATGTTGACTTTCTTATCACTAGTGCTGTACACAAGAACAATAAAGTTAAATAGAATACAAGATATGTATATATTCTCATTACATACGGAATAAGAATAAATGGAGAGCTCTTGAACCACTTGAGATATGCAGACGATATAGTCCTGATAACAGATAAGAAGGAAGAGTTACAGAAAATGGTTAAGGAACTAGATAGAAAAGCGACAGAGGTAGGTCTAGAGATGAACTATAGTAAAACCAAGAGTATGACAAACCAATTAGAAATAGTAGTCAAACAGAATAAATTAGAGCAGGTGGCAGAATACATATACCTAGGACAGATAATAAAGCTGAACAGGGACAATCAAACAGAAGAAATAAAAAGAAGAACTAGACTAGCATGGGCCTCATTTGGTAAACTATCATATATTCTAAAAAATAAAAAGTTCCCTCAATATATGCGAACGAAAGTATTTAATCAGTGCATTTTACCAGTTATCACATATGGCTCACAAACATGGACTTTCACATAGGAGAACATCGACAGGATATCCAAAACACAAAGAGCAATGGAAAGACAGATGCTGGGTATCGGTCTTAAAGACAGGAAAAAAACTCATGGATCAGAGAAAAAACAAAGGTGAACGATATATCAAGACAGGTTGCAAAACTTAAATGGAACTTCGGCGGTTACACTCTCCGGCAAAAAGATGAAAGATGGAATAAGCGAATTCTATACTGGAGACGATGGGAAAAGAAAAGAAAAAGAGGAAGACCACAGATGAGATGAACTGACGACCTTAAGAGAACGGCAGGAAAGGACTGGATGCAGATCGCCCAAAATAGAGACCAATGGAGATTAACAGGGAAGGCCTATGCCCAAGAGTGGGCGTTTAAGGCTAATTAGATAGATAGATAGATAGAATACAAGATAACTGGAAAGGAAATATGAGATGTCTACATTTTACCAATAATGACCAACAAAATGCTACATATCGTCTGATAATAATTAAACCAATCATGAATTTTTTCAACAGAAAAAAAATTTGTCTCTGGATGAGTCAATGGTACTACGGCGTGGGGGTCTGATTTTTCGCCTGTACATCAAAAACAAACGCCATAAATACGGAATAAAGATATACATGTTAACTGAACCAAACGGTTTAATTTTAAAAACTTTGGTGTATACGTGAGCAGTCGACAATATGGGAGGGAAAAGTCATGTAAGTAAAGTGGTTGAGTATCTATTGGAGGACTATGTAGATTCTGGACATAGTGTCTACCTGAACAACTTTTATAATTCATATGAGTTAGTTCAATAGTTAACCCCACGAAGTACTTACTGCACTGGCACCCTCAATGTAAAACGAAAAGAAAGTCCAAGACGAGTAATAGCACAAAAATTAAAGAAAGGTGAAATAGTTGCGACCTACTGTAATAGCATTGGAAAATGGAAAAACAAAAGGGATGTTTTGTATATATCCAACGAATTTGGAAACAAGATGATTGAATATATAGACAACTGACCACAAACAAACAGCAAACCTGCATCCATATTTCATTAGAATAGGCACAAGGGAGGAGTTGACCGACAAGATCAACTGAGTTCCTACTACCCCTGTGACAGAAAGACATTGAGGTGGCATAAAAATTAAGAATACATTTCCTTCCACTAATGCTATTAAATTCACATTTGTTATACAATGAGTACTGAGGTCATAAAATGTCACTCTATGTAACACAAAGTAAAAATATTATAAACAACAAACCACCATATATTATTACTATTATAAAATTTCTACAATAAGTCATTCCGGCATAACACAAAGAAAACGTTGTAAGCAATGCTCAAAACATAACTTACGAAAACAAACAATATATCATTGTGAAAATTGTCCGGAAAAACCTGGACTTTACTATTATGCAAAAGCTTTTTATGCTTAGAGCCAAGTTTTTTATTTTATTTTATGCAATTGGTATAATTTAGTTTGTTTGACGTTATAAATTTTCAGTTTTTTGAATTTTTTTTTTTTCATCCTTTATTTATTGAAATCTGTTTCTACAAATAAAAAAAAACAATAATCAATATGTTTATCAAGTAATTAACATAGGGGAGAGCTGTCCAGTGACAGAAATCCTTAAGATAAATTTCTAATATATATAAATATTTGAAATATAAATAACAATTTACAAAGACATTTTACTAACATATTAAAAAAAATAGTAATAGTTAAAATTATAACAACACACACAATTATAAGTTGTAGGTATATGTAGAATCAGTTGTAGCTATAAAATGATATATACGTTTATGTATATAAAGGTATAGAGAGGTCTAGAGGATCACGTCGTTTTAGTCTTCCTCTCCTTGGTCGCTTAAGTAGGTCTTGGGCAAGTGTATTTGGATGGTTTTAGTAGTCTATTTTTGTAAGTGCCACTGAGTGAGACAACGGTGTCTTTAATATTTTGGATCTGAAGATCTCGGTGTATCACATAATTGGGCACGTACCACGGTGCATTGGTAATATGTCTCAAAACTTTAGATTGGAAACGTTGAAGTTTCAGTAAGTGAGAATTAGATGCTGTACCCCATATCTGTATACCGTAGGTCCAAACTGGCTTTAGAACACATTTATACAGTAATAATTTATTATGTAGACTTAGTTTGGATTTTTTATTCATGAACCAATACATTTTCCTGTATATTAACCCTAGTTGCAGTCGCTTTGTCCAGATGTGCTTTCCCCAATTTAGTCGGCTGTCAAAATGTATTCCCAAGTATTTAACATCACTTTTTTGGGTATTATGATATTGTTTATGCACACAGATGGTACACTCTCTTTGCGTAAAGTAAATGTTATATGTGCTGATTTGCTGCCATTTACTTTAATTCGCCACAGTTTTAACCATTTCCCTAGTTCATTTAAATGAATTTGTAAATTTTGACAGGCTGTAACAGGAACCGAGTTAGAAACCATTATCACAGTATCATCTGCATAGGTAGCGATTGTGCTGTTTACTCTTGTGGGAATATCTGCCGTATAGAGTAAGTATAAAGTTGGTCCCAATATACTACCCTGAGGTACTCCCGATAGAATTGGAGATATGTTTGATACTGCTTCATTGCATCTGACCTGGAAATATCGATTGGTAAGATAGGATCTCAGAAGAGCATACAGAGGATGAGGAAAGTGAGTTTTTATTTTAGATAGCAGCCCCTCATGCCATACTTTATCAAATGCTTGTGAGACATCCAAAAAGGCTGCAGTGCAGTATTCTTTCTTTTCAATCGCATCTCTTGCTACTTTGGCAACTCTATGTACCTGCTCAATTGTTCCATGTTGTTGCCTGAATCCAAACTGATAATCAGGTATTAAGTTTTGTCTGTCGATTATAGAATTCATTTTCTGAAGGAGTATCCTCTCAAATATCTTAGAGATAATGGGAAGCAAACTCATTGGACGATAGGATGATAGTTCTTGTGGATCTTTATTTGGTTTCGGTATTAGAATAATTTGTGCCATTTTCCATTGAAACGGAAAATAGCCTAACTTTAGTATAGCGTTAAATATGTATGCCTAACTTTAGTATAGTTTTTTGAATTAAGTATAAAAAATATTTTAAAACTATTCTGACTGGAAAACTGCTATGTTCTTTGTGCTGTATCTGCTAGGGAGGTTTTAGGGGCAAGCTCGGGGGTAGAAATTATTTTGCATCTTTCTTGTGGTCTCATAATTGATATTGTCAGATATTTAAAATAATTCAGCTTGTTTGTATGATTTTTAGAGGTTCAGTGGCATTTTCGTCTTTGACAACTACAATAATTAGTAACCTCAGACATGTGAAATTCGTTTTCAAGCATGCATTAAACGAACAATTTAGAAATATTGATAGACACTTACCTATAGTTAAAGTATTAAAAATAGTGCCAACAACAGCAAACAAGAGAATAGTGCCAAAATGTTCAAAAAACAGTCGATTAGGCATGAAATAGCCGGCGTCGAGGATGATCGGTGGAAGCATGTAAAAGAAAAACGTATCAGGTGTCAATGGTGACATGTGAACGCTATCTGTTATATGCACCAGGATCACTCCGATCACCACGCCCACGAAGATCAGTAGGCACGATTCGGGAAATATCTCGCTCAGCTTCGGCGCCATGTGAAATCCTGCAAAAGAAATACTTTTTGTTAGTATTTGAGTACACATTTTAATTCATTATTAGCTTTACAGCTTTAACATAAATCATAATACGGCTCTAATATATTTCTTATTTAATAATACAGAATCATCATCATCATTGGCTCCACAACCCATGGTGGGTCTTGGCCTGCTCAAGGGTAGGTCTCCATTCTCTTCTAGTCTTCGCCTTGGATTTCCAGTTTCGTACTCTCAACATTCTAAGTCTTTCTCCACCTGATCCTTAAATCGTGCTTTGGGTCTGCCTCTCCTTCTCACTCCATCTATTCCTTGGTTATAAAAATGGTTTGACGGCTCCATCTCATTCATTCTCTCTATGTGACTTTAACCACCGCAGCTGGTTTATTTTGATGGACCTAATAATTTCAGGTTTGTCATACAGGCGGTAAACTTCGAAATTATAGCGTCTACGGCATAATCCGTCCTCCTGTACTCCTTTATAGACATGCCGGAGGATTTCACGTTCAATACATCTTGAACATTCTTCATCGCTCTTTGTCATCGTCCATGTTTCCGATACGTAGGTGAGGATGGGCTTGATAAGAGTTCTGTATATCACTAGTTTCGTTCTTTTTGTAACTAGGCTTGTTGTTAACAATTTTCTTAATCCATAATAGGCTGTACTTGTCAGATATATCCGTCTGTTAATGTCTGCACTTACTGCATTATTCTGATTAATTTGTAAGCCTAGGTTTTGTTACGATTTTAAATGTTATGGCATATAGCTGTAAATATTTTATGACTAATTCTTTTTTTATTGATTCTCGTAATTTGTAGGTCAAAATCTACCTGAGACACGTTGGGTTCCCCTTCGCTATAAAAGCGACGAATAAGAGTTTTCTGGAACCGCACCGATACCAGTTTTTAGATCATTGCCGCTCTGTCTACGAGGGCCTCGTATTTTCGACAACATTCTATTTACCAGTCTATTCGATGGGGTTCCGTTATAATGAAGAAGGTCGTCGATCTTTCTAGATAACGGAAGTTTATGTATATAAATGAAACATTTTATTTGGAGGGTCAGTAAGAAGATAAATTCGTGGCTCGGTATTTAAATGTACGAACGTAATAAATAGTTGTGGTTATTTAATAAAGTGATAATAAATTATCGTGAGTTTTAATAAATTAGAATAAAGACAATAAATTAGGACTAATAAAATCATTATAGTATATAAACTCTCTTACTCCTTCGAAAGTATGTGTTCCGATCGTTAGATCTTTGGGTTGTGCTGCTTGTATATAATTTGATAGTTTTTTATACTTCGTCTTACTAGTGTTTACCTCTAGTCCCCTTCTTTTTGTTGCTGCTTCAAGCACATTGAATGATTCGACCACGTTCGCCTTTTTTCTTGCAATAATGTCGATGTCATCGGCGTACTTCATACTTCATAGATCAGCGATTTGTCTTCCTCTTACGTGTATATATAATAACAAGCTGGTCTAGAGTATCCACTACTGCCTTACTGGAATTGTAATCTAAAATAATTTTGGCTTTTTGTCATTTTTGTCGCTAATAGCGTTATCATGATACAAAGTACAATAACATTTTTATTGTCCTCTGTTTGTTATTCCATATTCTCTGATAGCTTTCTCTAGTGCAATATTGCATAGAAGGCATGATAGGCTGTTTCCTTGTCTATCCTATCTATGACTGGAATGTTCTGGAAACTCCGTTCTGTACTCTAACTTTACACTCGACTCTTGAGAGGATCGCTTTCACCAATTTTACCAAGTGTGCTGGGATGCTGAATTCTATTATGCTCTTGTACAGTGCGTTGCTTTCAACACTATCATAGGCACATCTAAAATCAACAAACAGGTGATGAGTATCAATGCTATACTCATATGTTTTTTCCAGAACTTGCCTTAGAAGGAATATTTGATCTGTCGTTGATCTTCCTTTATGAAATAATAATAATACAGAGTACGCTTCTCTAATATAATTTTTTTATTGTATTTCTCTGTAAATATATCAGTATCGCAAAAAAGGTCGAGATTTCCTTAAATGTCTTTTAAGTAATAAATCACAGAGTCTTATATATAATATATTATTTACGCAATATCTGAACATCAAATTTATACGAGTCAGTTAATTTATATTAAAATTCCTTTCATGCTTATGAAAAATAATTTAAACGATACAACTGTATTTTTTATGGTTTTATTTTCACTAAAAGGTTTCTCAATAATCGATCACAAATAACATTTTATTGCTTTTGAATATACGAACGATAATCCATAAAAATCTACCCCAATTAAAATTACTATAAACGACTAGTTTTTTCCATACAGGAAGGCTACATGACAGGTGTGTCCATACTTTAAGACAGACTGACTGATGGACAAGATTCAGGTAATCTATAGAATCCAAAGTTTATTTTCGTATTATTTTTTCGATCCAATAAGTAAAATCAACTAAAGTATTTTTCTGGGGAAGCGAGAGTGCTTGTTAGCAAATAAATATATTTGTACAGGGATACACATATTTTAACTGGTTAGGTTTTTCTAGTTCTAGGTTTCTCCCGTTCTGTTTAGGGTTTGACTCTGACGCGATTAATATGCTTTTAACCTTGCTGTATCGTTCGAGTCAACTATCCAAATGTACTGTAAGGGTCAATACGACCCAATTATGTTTTACGGTCCTTAGTCGAAATTAAATTAAGCTAATGGTTCTGCTAAACAAAACTTTATTAACAAAAATTTGTAGTTAATTAAATTAAAATTATGTTGCTAATATGTAAATAAAACCTTATTAACCAAAAAAAGGCATTTTTTTCTTTTCCAAAAAAGCCTAAGAACAAATACCTACAAACATTAATTTAGTGTTTTTCCCAATTCCTCAAGAAAAATTCGCCGTTTTATAAGTTTGTTGGTGTTCCATTGGGGATTTATTGATGTCCATAAAAAACGACCGCGTTGATAAGGAGAATCGATAGACCACTGGATATTGCCGTCTTTTGAAGGAACTGTTACAGCTCCTTCAAAAGTGTGTCAAATAAATAAAATCAGTTTTGACATTTAAAAATATTCATCTTTCTTAAACAAGTTTCTAAAATCATATCAAATCTAAACCAAATCAAAGCTAAACCAAAAATGCATCCAATATTATTCAATGATCTTAAATATCTTAATTTCAGAAAAATAAATCAAAATAACGAAAGAGAACGTCTATGAATAACTGTTCTGATGAGACCTATTAGGTCGAAATACGTATCAACAGATACATAGACGCTGTTTGCGTGAAATCAGATATTTGCTGTCTTTTTCATTTTATTCGGATCTACTCTGTATGAGTACAAGAAACCAATTCGCTAAGGATTTCTGCTTAGTTGAAGAAACATGTCGTGGAATGCAAATTTTAGATTCCCCATGCCTCTTTGAACATATTTATCAACGTCTGTAATACCTTACAATTTTTAGAAGGTTCAGATAGCAGAAATCTGAATTGTGTTTCGAAACTATTTTATGGATTCAAAATGTTATCCTAAATGTATCTTAGTAGTTACTGTATATGGTGAATTCTTCAATGTTGATAAGCTGTCCAAAAAATACAAACACTTTAAGGTATTCTTACTTCAACTTCTATAATCAGTAGTTTCACTATGACCTCCATAATATTATCGAGTTTCCGAAACCCTTTATTCTACTGTATTTTTAATATGCTCCACACAGTTTTTCTATTTTCCTGAGTGATGTTGTTTAGGGCTTCATCGAAGAGGTTTTTTACATCTGCCCAAAATTTTAAGCTTTAATTGAACTTACAATGATACGGTAGCAAGCCAGTTTTATTTTGTGCTCTTGCAATTTCGTTTAAACATTTATTAAAGCATGTCTTAGTGGGGCCACTAATTGCAAAAGCTCTACTTTTAACACATCGTTATCTAAATGAATAACTTTTGAGTGTAGCCAGTGTTTTATTTTATGTTTCTTTTTATAATAATCGTTGCTCTTTTTAACTCAAACAACTAAAAGAAGAAAAAGGTTTATTTCTTCAAAACCTTTTAAACACCCAATGTTTGGAATAATAAGTCTTGTGATCTTGCCTGATGAATTTTTAAGAATAGATGAAAGCCCAGACAAAATCGCCTGCCTTAAAGATTTGACTGTTTCGTCAACCCACAAATGGGATATTGTGTGTTCTGAATTTATCTATGTTTCGTCTAAATAATATATTTTTTATTTTGTTCCCGAAATTTTTTTATGGATTTTAGGAAATTTCGTTTCCACAAAACGATTTCCACTATTTCTGCCTCGTACATATATAAAATCAAGTGATTTGAGGAAATTATAAAATGTAGTGATTTTAAAATTTGGCAAATTTTTGTCCTGGTTAACAGCTAAAAGAACTGCCTGTATTTTGTATTTCGTTAAAAAAAATTGGTGGACAATTCGTCGTATGGCAGATTTATCGATATCATTAATTTTGTCAAATATAGTTTTTCTGGATTTGGTCTTTTTCGGAAAATAAAAATGTCCCGGTATTCTTCTGCTCTCTAACAATTATGTACACAGAAGCTTCACCTACTCCGCAAGCAAAATCTATCTATTTCACTATTTCCGATACCATTTCTGGATGAGATTCTATTGTCGATGTATAAACAATATAAATGACACTTTTTTCCGTACAACTAAAAGAACGTAATTTTAATCACTTTTTTGGGATAACTTCCTCCGCAGAATCTGTAGAACTGGATCAGACGCGAAACTTTTGGCGGAAATAGCTAAGCTAGCCAAGTTAGCGAAACTTTTGGATGAAATGCAAAAAAAAATTAATAATTTTCGTCACAAAAGTCACAAAACAATTATTGGTTGAATTAAATTCTTTTATTATTTAGTAATTTATTACATTAATCCTAAATATACTTAGGTAAATCATTAAAATTATGAATGACGAGTAGGAGGAATGTGAAGGCGGGCTTGTACATAAACTGAGCTTGCAATTTTCTAGACCGTTGAATTTATTTCGATA